TAACCTCCACCTTATTTAACAGAAAAAGGGTTTGAGGACCCTTATGAATAATTTTTATCATCTTTATTATTTTATTCCGAAATAACAAATTCCAATGCTATTATCACACCTTATGGAATTACAACTTATTTCGGTATTAAGTACTAGTTCTAATATAACTTCTTTCAAGACAAAACATAAGCAATACTAAAATTTTATCCCAAAACTATCTATTGCTTTCTCAGTATACCAACTACTACCAAATAGTAGTTGCTATTAGTCCTGCCATCCCAAGCAATAAACAACTAAAAAGTAAAACCCATTATTGTCAAAAGGTAAGAAAAATTAAAGCAAACTTATGTAATTCATCTTTTTATCTTAGAAGAAACAATTAAATATTCATAATAAGTCATAAACAACCAACTAACAACTACTACACTTTTTGTCATAGTCTCTTTTGATAGAAGAACCAAATTCCAATTAGATAAAATTAGAATCCCAGCATGTGCAACCAACCAAAAGCACAAAAACAAAATATCAAAGCAAAGAATGGGACACACACTGATAGCAATTTTTACCTAATTCTTCCAAACAAACAAACACAACAAAAGCATGAAAATGAACTTCTGTCCATTCACTGGCCCCAAATAAATGTTAATATAATTGAGAAAATAAACTAATTTAAATAACATAATACAACTATTAGTACATAAAAAATATCTTTTACACTAATCAATCACCTCTTCTTGTTCTTTTCCTTGCTACTGGAAAAGAGAGAGCTCAAACCAAACAAATTTGCTGTAGGAACATTTAATACTGGGCTGATTTTAATCCCATTGATGTAACCTGGAACTTTCCTCAATGGCGGTTTTTGATAATGTCCGTTCGAAGAAGAAGCAGAGGATGATGATTTATGGAAATGATGTTTGTGTTTCATGTTTGGAGTTGAACCAGTTGAATTACTTCGCGATAAAATTGGCAAAGGACATAAAGTTCTTACGTAACTACTAGTACTACTAGTACTATTACTACGCTTGAATCTCCAAAATGACTTTGAGCTCTGTTTTTCATCTGTTGATAAGCTTTCATTTTTGACGCTTGCGTTGTAAGCGTTATAACTGGGTATGCCCAACTTATGACTTTTTATCGGCGTGTTTTGATCTGATTTCTTGTTGGGTGGAATTGATGGAGGGATATTTTTTCTTTTCATTTCAATAGGGAGAATTTTTCCATCTAAGAAAAGTTCATCAGCTGAAGTAGATTGAAGATCAAAGGTTTGATGAAATACACAAAAATCAAAATCAATAGTAGAGGAGGATGAATTAGTTGATGGAATTTGAACAGAATCTGTTTGTGAAATGTCCTGAGAGAAAGAAAAGCGAGGACTAGAATCGTCTGAACATAGTTCAATCGCCATTGTAATTGGCTAACAAAAGAAAAATATCTATGATACTATGAAGAATTTGAAAGCATAGGTTATGGAAAAGATGAATTTAAACAAATGGGGTCGTAAAGGAGGGGCCTAGGGTTAGCAAAGTTTGAAAAAGTCCAAATCTAACTACTACACTAATGAAAATTGCAACCGTCAAACTGACCCCATGCATTGAAAAAAACAAGTTTGATTAATTTAATTTAGTATTTATTTACTAGGGAAAAGTGGAGTGGAGTATTCAATTTTGCTACACGGAAAGCTTTTTGTTCTCTTATTTCACTTCCATATTTCTATTAGAGTTCGATTTATTTAGATTTATGTTGTTTATGCAAGAGACGAAAGCATTACTAAAAGTGGATACTTTATCAGAAAATAGTACTTATATAAATATAAATTAAACGAAATATAACATGGTTCACTCTATGATTGAATGGTCTTGACCCTTGTACACTAGAAAATACAACACCTAGAATCAATCTTGAGACACACAAGTTGCAAAGAAGCGAACAAATAGTGATGAACCACTACACCAACTCAGTTTATTTGTTATAGTGTGTACATTTAATTATATGATCCTTATTTAGGAATATACGTATATATACACATAAACTTTTTCAAAGTTAACGGGTGCACGTGTGCCCACTACCTCAAAGGTTGGCCCGCCTCTGTGCATAGGGCCTATTTTGGGAGAAACCTCTCTAACAAAGATTTTTCTATACATGAAATTTAAAATCAGAACCTCTGACTAAGAAAAATACAACTATGATTAAGGATTCATCTAACCGTCCTGCGACAAAAAACTACCCTCTTTAATTAGTTTGTATATTTATTTTTTCAGATGTTGAACTCTCTTAATGAATATCGTGGTTCTGTCACTACGTTTGGGGAATGTGTTGGGAAAAAAAGGGTGAAGAAATGAGGAGGCACCGAAATGCAGGCGAAGATGGATTCTTGGAGACTTCATAATTGAATCAATTTGACTTATGCAATCAGTATATTTTATTTATTTTTGGTAAGGGCAATCAGTACAATTTATATTTTTATTTGAAATTAGTAAAAAGAAAAACATATGTTAAACCAAAAAAAAATAAAAAAACACATGCTAAAAAGGTCAAACAAAATCCTTTTTTCCTTCTGTTAAATAAAAGGTCGAAGCATCTCTTGATAATGATTAGCATTTTCGCAGAACATCATAAAAGGAGGATCATTTACGTGTTTTTTTTTTCTCTTCTTATTTTTGGTGGAAAAATTCATGTGATAATATCAAAAAATATATATTTAAATTCTTGTCTAATTTATTCATATCAATGAGATGGGTTGGTCATATTTTAATTTTATTATCAATTCTGGCAATGGTAAATAGACTATTAATAAGTCATAATCATTTATATTCATGATGAACCATTAATTAACTATTCTTTATTATTCATTGACATTTACTACTTTTTATTGTCTATTATTCATTAGCCATCAATCCATAGCCTTAAATATGACTTTACTAGTATACTTTTATGTTTGATACGTTTTCAAACTACGATCAAAGGTCCAATTCTTATTGTCATTAGCTGCTTATTTACTAATTAATGTTGAAGTCTTCAGACATTTTTTGATGAACATTACACAAATTCTTGCTCTCATTTTGTTCTTATCATGAATACCCCTATGCTTTTGTGAGTTTACCCGCCCTTTACTTTTGCTTGTTTCTGACTTCCTACGAGCTCTTACTTGTTTCAGAGGATCGACAGAACACAAGAGTATTACCTCATACATGGATTTATCGAAATAACCTCTGCTCTCCCATGTCCTTCTATTCAAAAAGCAAACAACTTCTTTAAATAAGAAGGTCCTAAAATGGTTCTTCTAAACACTTTCATGTTTTTTTTTGGAGTTGTATGTTTTTTGCACAACGTAACATAGGAATATTGGATGTATATACTTTCAAGAACCCTCCCAACCAAAAGTTTCTACATTTGCACATGTATTGATATATTTTCCAATTAGCATCATGTTATGCTCTTTTATTTTGGAGAAGCTATATATGAAAGTTGAAACATGACATGAAGTACTATTAATAAAAACAATGAAACATGACACATGAAGTACTAATATAAAAACAATGAAACATGACACATGAAGTAACATTATCCAAAGCTATGAGATCAGACATGACATGATTATCCAAAAAAAATAATTCGCCCAATCTCGACTCACAACCACACGACGAGAGGGAGTTGCTCGGATGGTAAGCACCGCTCACTTCCAACCCGAAGGTTGCGAGTTTGAGTCACCAAAGGAGCAAAACGGGTGGGAGCTCCTAGGGAGGGTAATAAAAAAAAAAACTCACAGCCACACGAGTACTTATTAGTACTTATTAGCATATCAATGAATAGCCACTAGTCGAAAATTAGCTTCGCTCAAGTATGAAGAGGGTACGATGAGTCTGTTTGGATCAACTTATTTTAGGCGTTTTTAAGCCAATAGAAATTGTTGGAATTAGTATTAGAAGGTTCAAATGCCAAGTTATTTGGATCAATTTTGAAATAAAATCGTATTAAAATTTTACTCAATAAATTATGACAATCCGCAATGATTTTATGATCAAATTCTAGCTATTTGTTACTTCCTCCATTCCATATTAATTTAATTTTTGAGGCATTTTTTATTTTTCGAATTAACTTAATTGTTCAATTTTCAGGACTACTTTTAGAGTGTTCTTCCAATTTTACCCTTCATTAGATAGTATTGAAATTAGTGATTAATTAATATTTAGTTATTTTAATCATAAATTTGACAATAATTAATAAGGATAAAAATGGAAAACTATGTTCAATTTATGTCTTAATCTACTTTTCTTAAAGGATGTGAAACACCTCAAAAATTAAATTAATATGGAATGGAGGGAGTAGGATTTATGACAAGTCAAGGTTGTTCATCAATTTGATATGCTTTGTGAAGTATGTTTTGACCATCAATTTAAAATTGATGACGAATCATTAGAATTTTGCTACTAAATACCGAAAACAAATCTATTTTTTGAAATGAAGCCAAAATTAAAATAATGCCACTTAAGATGATTTATTAATCTCTTATTGAATATTTTAAGAGTTTATAATTTTTTTGACATCAAATGAGATATCAAGAGAAGTTATTCCTTGCGATTAATTTGAAGTACAACACAATAGATATGTTAAGAGACGTGCTAATCTAACTCTCGAATCACGAAATATAATTCAGAGAAAATAATCAAAAAGATAAAACAAAATTGTATTACTAATTAAAACAAATGATTCAGAAACTGTTGGACTAAAGTGGGCCAAGTGGATAAAGAAATAAAGGCGGGAAAAGCGGAATATTGAATTCAAGTTCCCTTGTTACTGCGTTAACAATGTAATCCCAAAAAAACCAACAAAATTCTGCCGGTAGAATCAACGACGAAGAGTCACCGGCCGGCCAGTTGGAGGAGCTCCACCAACAAACTCTAGCCGCCTCCTTCTGGCTTCCACTATCTCTCTAATTGTTAAAGCGTTGCGTGCAATGCACAAAACCTAACCAATTTCAACAAAAACCTCTTCGTTGGAAAACATAGAATCACGCCTGCGAATCGGGAGATTGGAAATTCAATTTGATTGTGTTGGATATAATTTAAGAAAAATGAAGGCGAATTGGGAGGTGAAGGATTGTTGTAACCATGACCAAGTCATCTTCCTTGTCACCATTGGTGTCTACACCGTCTTCATTTTTATCGTAACCTTCTCTCTCTCTCTAATTCTCCTCTTTGATGTCTTTATCTAATGCTTTACTATCATGGAAAATGTCAAACTTTCTTAGAAGATCTAATAATTTTTTTCCTCAATTGTTCCATTGTGCCGGGTAACTCTGTTGTTCTATGGCTTTTTTTCACTTCAATAGCAACTAGGTCACATCCTTGGTGCTTGACGATCCAATAATTGACTAGCTCATCTATTATTATTAATTAGGTCATAGTATTATGCCTATAGCTTGGTTTTCATGGATTTCTTTAGCAAGAATTTCAATGGGCTGACATAGTTAAGGTTCCAGAGCAAATGTTGTTCATTAGGCAGCTCAAAATGTTACCATCAAAATTGGATACTTCTAAATATTAATCCACCTGCTTTTGGTTCAAAGTCAGTGTGAAATTGGATAATTAAGATAGTTCCCAGGGAAATCGATTAAATAAGCTGAATTCATAAACCTGCTGCTTTACCTCCATGTGGTTAAGCTTTTTAGTAACACACAAAAATTGGTCGACACATGCTCCATTTCATCTGTGTGGATATGACATCTGATATAATAAGAATACATGTTATGATTTTGAGTTGATAATTTCCAGTAGAGAAAAAAACTTGATGTGTGTATAAGGTTATACGTATCAGCTTGTCTTTTCGACTCATTGCTTGTCTTCTTAAGAGTAAGATAAAATGCCAAATTTGCATATATTCACAAATGCAATACCATGTAATTTGCAAATAATCTGACAAGATTTCTTTGCATATGGCAGAAACTAACCAATTGTTGTTTTAGTTTTTCTCTGAAATACTTTTTGTTGTTTCTTCCTTCAAGATTTTTCATATTAATTTTGCTTTTTTCTTTTAACAATTGAAACAGTTATGGAGAACATTTATTATAACACCTTTCAAGCTCATTACTGTGTTTCTTCATGAAGTAAGCCATGCAATTGCTTGTAAGCTCACATGTGGAGAGGTAATCTCTCCTCTTCAATTCTATAGATGTAAATGATTTAGGAATTTCATCAAAACCATCTGTACTTTTATACCAACCCAATTCCATTCACTATATACACCAAAAGTGCAATGGAAAAAAGTGATTTGCCATAAACCCTGGTATAATGTGGCTTGTGGTGAATGATAAGAGATGGTTTGGGTGCTGCTTCATGCTAGATTGTCATGTGCAGAATTGGTTTCCCAGATCAATAGAAGTTGATAATGTAATAAATAACTTACACATTAGTTTTTATCGTAACAACTTATATTGTGGTTTACTAGTACAGGTGGTGGGCATAAAAGTTCATGCCAATGAGGGGGGAGTGACACAAACTCGCGGTGGTCTTTCTTGGGTGATCTTGCCTGCTGGATGTAATTACCCTTCCTTGAAACAATTTCAAATATACTTTTAAGCGTCTGGCTTCATTTCCTTAAAGACAAAATGAAGTATCTTCTTAAATTCCAAATTGATAAGCATTTCAAAGTTAGCTCCTCCACTGTAGTTTGCTTTGTCTACTTAACCTTTTCCTTCACTTACTGTTGTTTTGCTCTTTGTTTTTTGTTTTTTTGCCTAAAGATCTGGGTTCATCTTTCTGGGGAATGGTTCTCATACTCGCATCGACAAACGTTCTCAGTGCAATGATAGCAGCTGGTTGTTTTATTGCCGCTTTGCTTATCGTACTCTGCCTTGCAAAAAATGTATGAAACTAAGAAAAAACTTGCATTATATGTTGAACAATGACTGCAGATAAACAGGTCTTTAAGTTTTTTGTATCTTAAAATTTACTTTTTACTTGTGTAGTCTAACCTTGCTTTTCTCTCTTGAACAGTGGACACTTCGCGGACTTTGCATTGGTTTGTACATTCAGGATCCTGATAAGTTTTAGTACTTGATATACAACTGTTATTTTGTCTTCAGTCATTGATTGCAACAGACTGGATTTTCCAGGATTCATCATTTTCATTGGTGGAATTTGGGCTCTGCAAATACAAACGGAAGTTCGTATGCTCCGTTATGTAATTCTCTTCATAGGTATGGGCTTATCTTCGTCCTTTCTCCTTTCTATTTTGTTGTGTTGCTTATAAGGGTTTTCTCATTTACTGCAGGTGTTATGAACAGCTTGTTTTCTGTATATGGTATGAAGTATCCTTTCTATTTGTGAAATAAGAATCCTCCATTGACGATATGACATGGCCTAACTTAACATGACAATGCAGATATCTATGATGACTTAATATCTCGAAGAGTGAACTCAAGTGATGCTGAGAAATTTGCTGAACTTTGTCCATGCTGTTGTGCTGGTCCTTTTTGGGGAGTCCTTTGGTTAGTGATAGTTTTAAAGAAGAGCTGATTCTTCTCATCATTTTGAGGTTATATATGATATTCACTTACTGTGAACAATTTTATAGGGGAATGATATCTTTTGCTTTTCTTTTTGGAGCTATGTACCTTGGCCTTGCCCTTTTATCTTGAGGTATTTCCTCGCTGCAAACTTCCTCTTTTTATCTCTACGGTTTTATCAGTTCTCTCTGATGGGTGTTTTATCGGATTTGTATATGGCCTTCATTAAGTCTGAGTATTACTTCTAGTTTTGTTAACTTGTAATCCGTTAGTGATCAACTTTTGTTTGTTTTGAAGAGAGGGAAATGAAGTTATACCAGCCAACTGTTAATACAGAAACATGGAAGATGTTATGAGAGAGCTTGATTTGTTCTTAGGTTCTCAGTGACTTATTATTGTTTTATATTCTTCTTGTGGACCAAAGGGGCTAGACTTATGTGCATTATGAAGCTTTTAGCTTTGGGTTTTCCTCTGAATCTAATTCTTTCCACCTGTTTAGGTCTTTGCAGATGGGTTTAACGTCCTTGCAATAAGGCAGTGCAGAGTTCCTATCGTCTGTTGTGTAGTATGTCATCAAATATTAGATGCTACATTCATTTTTGTCTTGTCCTCAACCCAGTGAGCACTTCTTTTTATCCCCTATGAGATGGGGTTAGTACAGTTGTGACTTGTATTTGTATAGCAAAAATCAAATACTGTACCATGGTTTCCCGTTCAGCTGATTCCTGTGCCAGAACCTTTGCAGACATTTGTAAGTCGTGGTTCAATTAGACAACATGTTGCTTCGAAGATTGGAGTTTTTCAGAGTAGTAAATTCAAGAAAAAGAGCTTGTGTGAGAAATTCTTCAAGAAGTTAGGCAGAAATATCCTCTATTGCTGAATAGAGCACTCACTCTGCATAGATTAGGCATACATGCATTCCAACCCCTTTTAGTTGAAGGGACGCTCTTTGTTTACATCCATTAGTTTGTAAATTGGTCTAGATTCAATGAGTACAGTGGGTTGTTTGATGCCTGAACATGATGTGTACCCCTTATATTTTGTTTAACTAGATTTAAGCAAGTCTGAAGAACTTGATTGGTTTTCCAACTTTGACAAAGTGTCTGGCTTTTGGAAAACTGGGAGTTGTTGAAATATCGCCTGGATAGTCTTTTTCCAATCGATTCCTTTGAAATACGACCAGCAAATTCTCCCAAGTTCTGATAATTCCTCGTTTTAGCATTCTAAATTAACCATAACTGAGGGTTTATGCACCAGGTTGGCTAAACAAAGGAATGAAACTATGCACTCTTATTCTAACAGATCTAGCTCCAGCACTGGACAAATAGATACTGTATATGCAAAGAGACAGGCAATTGGAACAGATAAAGTAGCACACAACCAAGCTTCAGATAACATATGTAACAAACTAATGTATGGTCAAGTCATACAAGTTACAAAGGGGTTAGACAATCTTATATATGAGCAAAATTATCCCGTAGTAATCCCACCAGAAAGCCACCAAAAAAACTTACCACCTTACAACTGGTTTGATTCATTCTACTACAACCCCTTGTACCCTTATAAGTGTGGTCAAAGGCTACAGCCATGACACAGTGCACACTACAACTTCAAGATAAGTTGCACTTAAATACTCGCAGGGATCAATCAAACCTACTATGTGGCTGGCCATGCCAGTCAACCTATAAACTTAGAGAGGTCAAGAATATTCCATTTCACCGATTTGTATAAGTAGACTGCCAGCAAAACATTTGGGACATGGGCTTGGTGATGGCAGCCTGACCTTTTGAAATAATTTAGATTGTAAGGTGGTCACAAAAAGCCTTCATCTGAAAATTTTGGTATCATGATGCTTGAAAGTGATGATACACACAATCATATGTCCAAATCATCATCAGGGTCCTCATCTGAATCTGGCATCTCATCATCTGAATCGCGAAAATATATTATCTCACCCCTCCCAGAATCCTCTGTTGTTTGCAGTTTCTCAACTGAAGCTTGTTTCTCCTCATTTTCGCTCTCGTTAAGTGATTTACGACCATCATAGATTTGAATGGGTTTACCAGTTCCTGAGAGAGGCAAAACAACAACTTTTTTACTTCCAAACTGAGTTTTCACTTTATCTTCACAGCAGAGGAACGAATCTGTGATAACAAACTAAACACAAGGTCCATGCATACCTTGGTGTTCAAATGGGAGTACAACTTTTGCTCGGTCTAATCTTTCCTTCTCTGACAAATCTAAATTGAATTGCACCTATCAAAAAAAATATTTTTGGCATTAATGTATCTACCTTCCAATTTCTCCCAAAAAATCTGTGCATGTATCAGAATTGGAGCCCACTGTAAGTACGCTTGCACCATTGAAAGAAAAGGGAAGAAACTAGTACAGTACTTACTATATTAGGTTTGAACTGCAAAATAACTCACCTTGGGAACAAGACTTTGGGCAGTGAATCCATCTTCAGATGAAACTTCTGTAATTTTGATGCCTGATCCCTCAACATAAAGCTCTTCCCTCTAAAAATAGATTTTTAACAGTGTAAGATGAAGTGTTCATGTTATCCTATGAGGGGAACAGATAAGGAGGTTACCATCACTCTGACACGTCCATTTCTGCGTTTAAAGCGTACATGAAATTTTCCTATTTTAAAGGACTGTTCCACCATTGGGAGGTCCTCTGAGGTGTTTCTCTGTCCATTTGTTCTTTGAACTATTGGTTCCACATCCGCATGCATAGTGGACAAATATTCAAGAGTGGCAGCCACCTTGGCCTCATGAAGGTCCACATGCAACAAGCAAAATATGCATGAGACCTGGTCTGCGAGCAAGATAAATTAGTTTAGGCAACTCCTCACGATGCATACAAGAACATGCCAAGAGTATATTGGTTCTGTTTGACAGCATAAACCAAGCTAGTGGACTTATTTTTGTCAATGTTCTCAATGGGTTATACATTGTGTTTATGCCAGGTAGACAGAAATAATAGAGTAAACATATCCAGAACAATATACATCCAGGCAAAGTAGGCAGTGACAAGAACAAATTACAATTTACTACAGATAGCAGGGGTACGAGGTAGAAATTAGTACAAAGTTGTAAAGGCAGCACGACATCTCCTAAAACTAACCACAAGAAGGAAACTTCATACATCTAGCATAAGGAAAATTTTGGTGCCCAAATCTGGGAAATGCAGATATCATGATTTCTCCAGCAGGAATATCCAGTTGTTTAGGTTAACATATAATTGTGGCGAGGTGTTTATAACAGATGGAAGCCAACAGCAAATCTTGATTTCATAGTTAGCTGGCATAACATTTGCACCACAGAATTTTCATTACTAAGCTACAACACATGATGGCCAAAAATAACTGGGCCTACCATGACTGCGAAGATGACTTAAGATTCTTGCAACGGAAGGTAGAGATGAATGTCTCAAGACCTCACTAACCTGGAAAAAGAATTAGAAAGTTAATATGATGGTATTAAGAGAAATGGAGGAATCACAAAAACGGAGACATTTTCTGTTTAGAAATGCAGTAATATGCAAATGTTCAAACTGAATTCAATGGATTTCTTAGTATTAAAAAGGTATAGATCTTACTGGAAATTCAGTTAATTCTCTTTCAACAACTGAAGCGAAAAGTAATTCGCTTCTTTATTTTATCATCATAGCCTTCAAATTTTTCGTGCCTTAGTATCTATTTGTAATGATGAAACATTTAAATAGTTGATTCACTGCCAAGCAGTAGCTTCTTAAAGAGATTAATCTTAAGAGTTAATACTTAAGTACAACTTTAGGTGGTCTTTTTGCTTTCTTTTCTTTTGTTTTATTAAAATTTTACCTTTTGGTGACAGGAAAACTTTGCATTAGAATTTGGAATGATACATCAGAACTCGGAACATCATTTTACCTCAAAAAGGAGGATATTTCTAGTTAATGAATAAAGAAAGATTTAGGCAATAAATACATTGTCAACTAGCATCTCAAAATGGACTTGTACTTTAAAATTATCAATTTAGATATACAGCCTCCGCTCAACCTTTCTCAAGAGAAACTCTTATCATTTTGGAACTTATAAACTGATTCAATGTCACAGAGCTAGTGATACTATTTTGAATGAAATACAGGATAATCCAGAAATTAGAAGTCATACAGACAAATTATGTTTCACCTCCTATTTGGTGAAGACACGTAAATAAGTTAAAAGAGACATCTAATTGAACGCCATGCTACAGTGAGAAATAAATGCCTTCATCAACACACTTTCTATTTCTAAAGTATCCGTTTCTGCACAAACTCATCTAATATCTCGATCCAGTCGGGTAAAACAGTTCTTATGAGTAAGAGAAGTGTTCAGAGTTTGTTTAAAAGGTTATGTAACTATTTAGGAACCATATCTTGTTTGCTCCCATAAGTTGACAGTTAAATCAAGAATGATAAAACTAGAATTCTATATTACTTGAGAATTGGACTAAGCAACTGCTGTTCGACTGCATAGGCTGAAGATTTTCCCAGTCAACTAGACGAGGCAATTATTTATCTTTTCCATAATTTGACACATTGTGTAACGGGAACCCGGAATTATTAAACCTGAAAATTTCAGTGGTTGCATTGAGCATCACTCTCAATGCAACGAAACATGGGGATCAGTTGATGGAGATGATAAAAACTGTCAAGATGGTATAGCCACTTTGCAAACCTACGGATTGTGGGTTGTAGTATTAAAACAATAGCTCTGGTTCAATACTGTAGGTAAAGTAAGAAACTAGAGAAGTTTCCTCGCGTATAAGTGCCCAATACTGAGTGTACATTCACAAAGGGACAGGAGAACTTTCATGGCTTGTAACTAGAAAGCAAGGCAGAAGAACTAATCTAAGAAAAATCTAGGAAGTTTCCTCGATAAATGTGCGCACGTTTCTGTCATGGACACCAATAGCATACTGACAAAATAGAAGGTGCAACAGAACTTTAAGGCTGCGGATTGTCATGTTTGATTGTTTTTTATGTGATTGATGTTTCATTCTCTAGAGAAATGGATAGAGTAATTTTTCATCCTTTGTAGAAGTTGATGACTAAAAGGTGCAAGTTTTTACCTAGATCAGGCTTCCTATTTTGCGGTAATAAGAGAAGAGAACCTTTTATGTGAATGCTGGACAAAAAATCCAGCAGGCCTTCTGAGAAGTTTCCTTCAACAAAAACTAACTAGGACAAACTACTTTTTGGTTGCTCGCTATCTAGTGATAACTACACATCTTTGCAACAAGCTACAGTATCTAGAAGTGAAATTCAAACCAAACAATCCCAATCAATGAAAAAATCACCACACATGAGCAACATCCATTCTCCACTTACTGAACCAAAACTAAAATTAACTAGCATTACCGAGTCTATTGCAACTGCAAATCTCCCCTTTCCCTCTTCAACAATTTCTGCAATAATTGCAACAAACAAGATCCGTTTGAATTTTACCAAAGCACAACAAAAGTTTATCCTAAACTTTGGGAGTGCTCAAATTAACAAGACTTCTCAAAGCCTTACCTTTTCCAAGTTCAATAATGGATGACAAAACCTTGTCCAATTCTTTCAAGTTCTTACATAAACTAGTTTTCAGTAAGGTCTCTTCGTAGGGATTTCTTACAGTTCCCCTCTCCATTAACTTGTTTTTCCATCCAAGAGGATCCGAATAGCAATCTAGAACTCTTAGCCTGATTTGTGAGCAAAATTCAGTACATAAAAAAATAACATATTTTATCCTCATAGTTAAAATTTACTCACTAAAAGAAGGAAGTTTCTAACCATTTACTCGATGAAGAAACGTCGAAACCTTTATCCTTCAACAGTTCAGCATAGAACGATGGAGGCCGTGATAAAGCGACCAGCACAACACCTCTGTATGAACCATCAATCAACGAATTTATCAAATTATCACATAAAAGAAGTTTGATAACTATTAGTGATTTTCATGAAGAAGTGAACTGACCGAGCTTGTGATTTACCGGCGAGAATGTTGGCAGTAAGTTGCGTAAGAATATGGTTGAAGACGAAGGAACCCAGAGGCGTGTCGATAGTATCCTTTATAGTTAGAGCAGGAGCGTGTTCTCCTTCGAATGCTCCATCACGAAGAGCTCTACAAATTGTTTCGGCCATTGTTGAACACCGAGAACTGCGAATTCTGGAGAGGGAAAAAATGGCGGAGAAAAACCCTGGGTTTGAAGAAACTTGTAATGTTTATTTTAGCCCCTGGGTTTTGATACTATTCACTCAACACCCAATCCTTTTCTCTTATTCCTCCAACACGAGTTAATTAACACAACCCTGCTAATTAAAGTTACCTTATCTTTTAACCGTTAAATAAAGAGAGATATTATAAGTTCTCAAATTTCTTATAAATTATGAGATAGTAAAGAATTCGACTTATAATAATGATGTATTGTATCAAAATATATCATAATATTCATAAATTTAAACACAATTTTAAAATTAAAAGATAAATAATATTGTCATTGATTATTCACATCTTATTATTGCAACGGTGAGAATAGTATTTAGACTAACCAACCATTTAACATATTAATATGCATGCCTCCAAAGCAAATTGAAGTACCAATCACCTTTTATCTCCCATAATTGTTACTCTAGTAATTTAGATTAGTTACAAGTAAGTACATGATTAAACTTTTCTCAAGACTTAATTAAAACTAAAAGCAACAATTAAGTTGGCATGATGCCCTCTTAATATTCTTCTTTTTACTTGATGGCTAGACGGATAATTTAAGGAAAAATAATGTGTTTTAGCAAAATGACTAGAGGGATGTTAGGTTTTCGTTGATTTATGAACTACTTTACGAGACTTTAATTACTTTAATAATATGTTTACCTCTCTAATCTTTCAGAACATTACTTGCTCTCTATTTCAATAATGTAATTTATAAGAAGTATCATGATTTTTAATAATACAAGTATGTAAAAGGGTAATTCATCCCATTTATTTAATGTAAAACAATCAACCACGTTTATTTTATTTTAAATCAAATTTCTGCTTACGAAAATATATTCACTAAATTTTTTTATCATTATTTAATTTTCGTATTATTAAATATCCACCAAACAAACCCTTAAAAGTGTACCCTACTATTAGGAATACATGCCATGTTTTCTTTCTCAATAATGAGGTTGCTTTAATGCATTGGTTAACATAGTCCATCAAATTATGACATGATTATGAATTTATGATAGAGTGGAATTGTAAAAGAATGAAAATAATAGAGAATATTAAGTTGTTGTCACCTAATTAATTATCTTTGTACCACAATTAGCACTAGTATATACGTGAACGTGACATGCCTTGTATGTACTTTTACGCAAAAAAGTCGTTATAAGAAAAAACAATGTAATTTTCATTATTATGTGATTTAATGAAGTAAAACACATGGTAATTAATAATGGTTAAGTAAAATGAACTATAAATTTAAACATATAACATGCATGTATTGACTTGGTGTATACACTCGATACGAGTAAGTTTTACCCTGTAATATTAATTTTAAGATTCAAGTTGATGATGCTCGTTTAGAAGGATTATTTAGGATTGAAAGAATATGCTGCTAAAATAAAAAATTTGTACCCTATACTAGTTAGATTATCAGAATTATAGAATATCAAACAAAATCTCATATTAAAAAAAAAATAAAAAAAAAATAAAAATAAAAATAAATAAAAATAAAATAAAATATATATATATATATAATTATAATCCTTTTCACGTCGATCGAAATGGAAAGAAATTTTCTAAGTACGAATGTAGAAATAAAACTTAAAAGATATACCAAAGCAAATCTAATTAAATATAAAAAATTATAATCCGTTTCACGTCGATCGAAAAGGAAAGAAATTTTCTAAGTACGAATATAGAAATAAAACTTAAGATATACCAAAGCAAATCTAATTAATCCCAATAGTATTTTTTATTTTTTATTTTATGAGAAGAGAAATTCACAAACGCTACCCTTTGAATTTGCACAAGATAAATTTTTTATTTTTATGCAATAGCTCACAAATCACACAAAAAGGTAATTCACACTCCGATGTGACAAATTCGATCTAAAAGGTAAATCCCTTACTTTCATTAACAAGAAATTTCAAATTTGAGACCTCCAACATATATGTCTCAAGTCGAAACTACTGAGCCACGCAAATATATTCCAATTCATTGTCCAGATTTGTGCAATTTGCGATACATATATAAAAGTGGTAGTCGAAATTAATACACGTCATAAATTGGTGGAGTAAATAAATACTAAATAAAATCCAAGCTTTATAAAGACTCAAAATTTCGCCAAGGATGAGTGTGCAGTGTGGCAGTATACTAGGTTCATCCCAATCTAACTGACGTTTTCTAATTTCTATGTCATTTGTCCATGCCTTAAAATGCCAATAATTTGCCAACCATAATTTCCATATCGTTTTCTTTAGTTTTAGCAAATTTAGCTTCTCACATCTCAAGAGGGCACATTATTCCATGTAACATTTGACATCATGTGACCATTTTGTTTTATACTATCTCTCCATCCACTTTTAATTGTCAGGCTATATTTTTCAAAAGTCAATTTGACTATTTTTAAAATTAAATTTGATTATATTAATTTGATATTTTAAACAAAAAAATTAGATATTCAAAAACTATACAATAAGTACTATAAAATATTTTTTTTTACATATCAATATGATTAAAAAATACATCGTAAAATATTAGTCAAAGTTTTTATAGTTTGACTTTAAAAAAGGGAAACCATGACAATTAAAAGTGGACGGATGTAATAGTTAATTATTTTTCATTTGCACGATACTTAAAAAATCATAAATAAGAAGATATTTTTATTAATTCACCCTTTAAAAAACTTAATTTTACAAATAAATGTGAACACTTTTAAAAAGAATTAATTGCAAGAATAATATAAGAAAAAATTAATTAATACTTTCTTGATTTTGTAATGTGATCAATATGAAATAACTATTTTTAATATATTGATCAACTAATTATGTAAGACGATCCAAGTCTAGAAAGGATAGATACTAATTTATTCGCACATGATATTTTTAATTTAATGTATCAGTAAATATAAAATATCCTTCAAGATTACTTCTATAAAAAAAACATGTTGATAACGCAAAGTATTAAATTTTCGTTCATTGTTACAGAAAAAGAAGGAACGGAGTTTGCATTTGCACAAATTATAATTAACAAAGACTAGGAGTCATTTGGTTCACGTTCTAATTGCGCCAAAATTGTACTACAACAATTAATAAGAATATAAGAATTATTCTTTCAAGTATAACAGAATAATAATGCATGAATTGGTATACATGAGTTGTCTATTTAAATTTATTCTTTTATCTATTTACTAAGTACGTACTACGTATATTTCAATTTCACCTTATATCTCGAATATTCAACACATAGATTCTAAGAGAAATTAGTACTATATGACATGTTGCATGAATAATAAGTATATTAATTTTATTTAAGTTCCCACAAATCAAAACCAGAAATTAGTACTATAAAATGACATGTTGCATGAATAGTAAGTATATTAATTTTATTTAAGTTCCCACAAATCAAAACCAGAAATTAGTACTATAAAATGACATGTTGCATGAATAGTAAGTATATTAATTTTATTTAAGTTCCCACAAATCAAAACCAGAAATTAGTACTATAAAATGACATGTTGCATGAATAGTAAGTATATTAATTTTATTTAAGTCCCCACAAATCAAAACCAAATCATGGATCCCGTGAGCTTTCCAGAGTATTTGGACCTTACTATTTCCCTATTCCATATTAACTGAATTTTTGAGTTAATGCACACAATATAAACATTGATAATTTATGTTAGATATGTTTAATTCTAATTGAGATTTTATAAGATATACTATTTGATTCCAGTTAAGGTTCTTGGAGGTTATTCTATCCTAAACCTTAATTTATGCTTGTATAAATGGTGAACATCTCGAATATTCTGCAAATTCATGAAATATTATTTCGAATGTTACTAATGGTCTTATGAGAGAAAAATCAAGAGTGAAAAATAATTATACTTATATTGATTAATTAATAAAATAGTATTATTTCTTCATATTTTATTATGATTGCATTAATTTTCTATCACCATTAAATTTGATTAATTAATAAAATATTTTTATTTATTCATATTTTATCATGATGGCATTAATTTTCTATCACCATTAAAAATTATTGGGAACAACACATCTTAAGAAAAACCATAATTTCATTATTATCCGGATCATAAATAGTATAACTAATCTCATAAAAAATATCAATTTCAATAAATGAAACATACAAATATATAATTTTTTTTTTTTTTTTTTTTTTTTTAAAACTTCAATCAATTCAACTTGTAATGGGAAGACCGTATTATTATATTATTATATTAAAAAAAAAGTGGTGACCACATAAAGAAGTAAAGGACGATCCCCACCGACCCCCGTTTGCGATGAGATCATAGGGGCGTTGCGTGACTGTTGAGTGTTGAGCAATGGAAATTTGCCCTTTTACTGAATTCTAGTCCTTTAACAGCACACTACAGAGGAGTGACCCAATTCTACGATAACCGCCTGATCAATTTACTCTCTCCCATCGTCACTTGCTTTGTCCAAATCCTACACTCCAACCCCCAACTTCCCCTCCTCCTCACAACAATTTGCCCCTTCAAAAACTAACCGAATGGAAAGTATAAGCAACATTCAATTCCATACATTCTCTTCAACTTCAACTTCAACTTCAACATCCTTTTTTCTTTATTTATTTCTGCTTCTCTCTTTCTCTTTCCATGGAGGCTGATGGTCTGTCAACAACAATGGAGGAAGGGTTTAAGGGGTTACTCAGGTTAATGGGTTCTGTCAAGAATTATGATTGGGGCCGTTCGGCAAAGGAATCTTGTGTTGGACGTCTGTATAGGCTTAATTCTGGGAGGAAAATCGATGAAAAACAGCAATATGCGGAGTTTTGGATGGGAACTCATGACTCTGGGCCATCCTACATTGTGGAAGAAGGAGGAAGAATTCAGAATGGGTATGCTAATGGCGGGGGAGTTAGAAACAAGAGTACTTTGAAAGATTGGATTGAGAAGAACCCTAGTGTACTTGGTGAAACTGTTCTTAGCAAATGGGGTACTCAGCTTCCCTTTCTCTTCAAGGTTGTTTCCTCTCTTCATTGCTTTTTATTTGCTCTAAGTTATCATGATGTCAATGCAAAATGATACTGGGTTGTCGGCAGATTATGATTTCTCATATTTGGACTGGATAAGGAACCAGGTTTCCCTGATCAATTCAAGGCTTTGTTTTATAGGTACTCTCTATTGAGAAAGCTTTGTCTATACAAGCTCATCCAGACAAGGATCTGGCAATTCTTCTGCATAAGGAGCAGCCACTCGTTTACAAGGATGATAACCACAAACCCGAGATGGCTTTGGCCTTGACCGAATTTGAGGCCTTGTGTGGCTTCATAAGTCTTGAGGTACTTCATAAGTTGTGCTAGATTTCAAGAAATTCCAATAGAGTTAAGCAACTTGTTTTACTGGATCTATGTAGTAATTGTCGGTGCAATCTAGAGGCTCTAGTGCCAGATCACTTGTCTGGGACTAGCTTCTAATGTTTGAATCTGTTTATTTATCAGGCTCCAGCTTATTCGGAAAATATTCATTCTAAGAGCATGGTGGGGACTCTTAAGCTGACTGTAGAGCTGTCTGACTTTATTTAAAACAATGATGTGAATTTTTTTAAAATTGAATGTTTGTTTTGTTTGCCTTTATTGTTTGATTAATAATTAACCGGACCTTTTGTTTTCAACTACTGGAATAAAGTAATGGAAAAAGGTCCCAATTAGCTTCTTTGTCCTCCATAAGGAAAAGACTAATTAGTGGTTGCTCTAGTTAGAACATGTGTATAATAACTAACATGTATATGTTTCATTATTCTCTATCTATTATATTATCTGTATTGCAAATTTTGGTGGGATCAAGTCTGTAAAGATCCAGAAAATGGAGCTGGACATAAGTGTACTAAACACTTCATCATGTAGTTGGTTCTCGTCAAACAAAAAACCTATCTTTTTGGCTTGAGACGATGGAGTGAACTTACAGTTCCATGTCTGTTGGACCTAAAAATAAAAATAAAAGGACACTGGACGTGATGATGATTTCTTTTTTCCAGGAGCTAAAAGTGATTGTTCAGACTGTGCCTGAGATTGTTGAAGTGGTTGGTAATGCGCTTGCAGAGCTAGTATTGGACTTGAACGAGGATGATGAAGAGGAGAAAGGTAAATTAGTGCTCAGAAAATTATTTACGGAGATTATGTCAGCTAGCAAGGATGTGATCACGGAAGTGCTTGCTAAGCTGATTAGTCGTCTGAACATTAAAAACAAGGTAAAGCATTAAAGCATAATCCTTCGATGATTATATGAAACTTTTTTTTTTTCACCATGATTATATGAAAGTTTTAAGACTTCCCTCGGAAATTTAATCTCTCTCTGTGCTTCTGTATGGCAGTGACTCATTTATGTGGCAGTATCTCTCAATGATTGTGAATTCTTATCCTCTTCATTGTCTTAGTCAATTGTTTGTGTCTTATTGCACACCTCTCTACCCATTTCCCAATTTAAAGACACTATTCCAATGTGCCCCCTGATTACATTTGTTTGGGATAACGGTGGTGTTTGGACCAACTTTTGAGCACCTCTCTATTCCAACGGGTACTTGCTGCCACCCATTGGGTAACTTTGGCCAACGAGTTCTATTGACGGAAAGAAATTATTTAGTATCTAAAGAAGGAAAGAACAAGGAATATGGATGTGAATACACTTCAGCTGGGTCACCTATAAAACACCAGGCCGTCTTCCCTGACTGTCTTGGCCTTCTCTCCTCCCCCCTCCCCCCATTTAAAAAAAATAAATCCATCTCAGCTGATAAAAAAGAGTGAATGAGAAACAACATAAAACAAAGTAAACAAAAATGTACGTCTTCACTCTTCAGACAACTAAGGGTGATGGTTATGAACTGATCTGGGCAGTTTCTTTAAATTTCAATGTTGGTTAATTCTCCTTTATCTTGATTTTTAATGGTTGAAAGTGAAAGTTGGGCTAGTGGTGGCACTATGGATTTTTTCGGTGATGAGTGTGGCAATATGAAGATTGAACTTCTAATTTTGATCTATTTTATCAGGGTTTAGCTGGGCGTGCTAAATACCAATTTCGGCATAACCTACAATTAGTTGCATTTGTTATTCAAATTCCTCCATGGAGCTAACCTCTGGTTTAATTATACCATTGGTTGGCGGTGGTTTAATTTTGTTGTATTTCCTGCTTTACTTAAACCTTGATTTCATCAACAAAAATACAATAACTTTTGCCACATTCAGGAAGCTCGCGTATAAACTATATTTTCCAGTATTTCTGCTTTAACATGGGAGACATAAGATTTTCTTTTACAAATGATTTGTTGGAGCTTAACTGCATATTGCGTTGTCTTCTAAAGCCTATCTGGAACTGTGCTGTTTATATTCATGTTGCTTACTACGTCATTTATTATTAAGAAAGTTGCTTACACTTTGATGTTTTAGGTAAGGGAGCTAACCGACAAGGAACAACTGGTCCTAGGACTTGAGAAGCAGTATCCAGCTGATGTTGGTGTTTTAGCTGCATTCTTGTTTAATTACGTGAAGCTCAATCCTGGTGAAGCTTTATATTTAGGGGCAAATGAACCCCATGCATATGTATATGGGGAGTGTATCGAATGCATGGCAACCTCGGATAATGTGGTACGTGCTGGCCTAACTCCTAAGCACCGGGATGTTAGAACTCTCTGTTCAATGCTCACGTACAGACAGGTACCATTAGAGTCGTTATTAAAGGCGTTCTTTTGTTCTCCATGTTTTATTAACCGTTATGGTATAGTGGAGAATGAGTTCATTTGAAGGTGAATATCCTTCAGATTGAGCGTACTATAACAGTCCAATATCTACCAAGATGGCCTAAATTCATGTTCAAATCACTTGTCTAGTCGATTGAGACAAAGAAGTTCCTAAACTAACAACACTTGTGGAAATTAGTTAGCAACAGTTAGGATACCTCCCAGTACACCTTAGGAGGTAGTTTTCTTGGTTATGGAAGGCAGGCCAGATGTCTGGCAAGACTACCTAACATGTAGGTTACATGGCATTCCCTATCTTTGATCTATGATCTGAATCAGTGTTTTTCTGTTACAGGGTAACCCTGAAATTCTGCACGGTACGGCAATAAATCCATACACAATGAGATACCTCCCTCCTTTTGATGAATTTGAGGTGGATCGTTGCATTCTTCCCCCATATTCAACTGTTGCCTTCCCTTCTGCTCCTGGTCCGTCCATGTTTGTGGTCATGGGAGGAGAGGGAACAATGACCACATCAGCAGAAGTGATTGTTGCTGAAGGTGATGTCCTATTTGCACCTGCAAACACCAATATTACCATTGCAACCTCCTCTGGTTTGCACTTGTATAGAGCAGGTGTAAACAGCAGATTTTTTGAGGAATGATAGTTGTAAGCTTGTAGCCCCTTATGCTTGCTAATAAAACAGTGAATTTCTGTTGCAATGGCTGTTCCACCTTGTATTATTAGCATGTGCAGGTATATAACCGCTTAAATTAGTGTAGTTTGAAAGTAGAAGACATCACTGGAAAGGTTGTAATTTTGCTGTACTTTGTCTCTTCTATTGTCTAATATCAACTTTAAGAAAGCAGAGATGCTAAGGATTAGGAAAGTACAAAATGCAGGAAAAAGAATTGTACTCAAGTGTGTAAATTGGGACTAGGTAGGACAAGATTTGCATACATTCCACTCTCTCTAGATCCCACCATACTGTTGAGTAAATTGGGACTAGGTGGTGTGCGCTGACTTGTTAGTATCCAAATTCCATTGTATTCATTTTAACCTTAATTTTTGGTTGTGCAAAAATCCTTGCTGATATATTTTTGATTATATTACTGCGATTGTCTGATGGATTTTACCACCTTTTCCCTTTGGCATTGTCATTCATCTCTTTGGGATACACAACAATAGCTGCACCACAGTTGAAGCACACTCGTTTGTAAAAAATGTCAATATTCTCATGAAAGTGAAAGCTCAAAAGAAACCACTAAATATAATTCTCAAGCCATGTAAGTGTCTCTTTTCATAACATTTTGGAACCAAAACTCACATTTTGTTCAAAATTTACAAGATTTAACAGCAGATGAATATCAAAGCCAAACCAAGAAGAAGTTGTTTATGAACTTCTTGACTTCTTCTAACAAAAATTTTCATCTTACTGAACCAGCTGTTTCTGTTTTGCTAGTTTCTCGACATCAATCTATATCCAACAGATCTCCAAAACCAATATAAAAGGAGTACAAACTCAATCCTATCCTATCTTAACTTCTCAATCTTTGATTGAATCAAATGCCAAATCAGAGGTTTCAACTAATCAACAAAATCCGGACATTAACAGGGAGCAATTTTCCTTCATATTTGTGTCCCAGCTTTATTTAAGCTGTTTAACCATGATAGGATCGGTTGTGCACCCGTTCTCCATGAGCAATCTATCATTATATCATGAGCAACCCCTTCAATACAGACTGCTGGGACGCCATAAAATCTTCCTGTTTCATTGAGTCCTTCCATGTCCTGAGAGAATCACATTCATATGTTACTTTCAGAACACTAGGACTATTTATCTCTAGAGTTCACAAAATGCTTCCCAAAATTGTCCAAGAACTTACCACAATGAAATCATCCTTTGCACCCACTACGAGCACTTTAAATGCAGGATCCTCAAGTCGAGGGACAGGAAGAGATGCGTTGAGCTTTCTTAGATCAAACAAAGGCATCCTTGAGCTTTCAGTCATTAGCTGTTGGTAACTAAAAAGGAGAAAAGAAAAGGCAAATGTTGCCATAAGACGATGTTGTATACATAGCTGATTTAGTCCAACATATAATGCTTGGAACAAGATGCATAGCGAGATCATCTATTCTGTTTAATATAAAACAAAATTCTCAAGATTGATATTCAAACAAATTTACAAACTTAATCTACGAACTTCACAGAACAAAATGTTAACATAAACTAGATGACTACTATTTGAACTGGAGATTGATAACTCAGAAAATTCACATTAATGGATATTTGAAAAGAGGAATCCTCAAGCTGATTATTAGAATAGTATATGCATCAGTTACCAGATCTTTACAATTCGACCAGGAAACTTTCAGTTCAAGCTACTAATATTTGGGAAGTCGTAGGAATAACTCAAGTGGGAACATGTTTGAAGTCAACTTTTGCCACTCTTAAATTGTCTAGTAGTACACATGCATCTTCAAAATCCTCCTAATACCAGTGATAGGAGAACATAGAAATGAGTTCTACGAAAAAGGTCTTTGTCTATAAGTCATTTACTCTTTCATCTGATATCTAAAACAATAACCATCTAAGTTCTAATTTGACTGACCGTGCAACCAGCTGATCCTCCATTCCTGCTGAGAAAAATGTTTCTTTACACAGAGGTAAAGATGTTTGAAAAGCTTTGGCTGCCAGGCTCCGAGTTACCTGCTCGAAATATCAAATTCATCAATTTGAAAAAAAAAAGGGATGTGCAAACAGGGCAAAAAGAAAACGGATGACGTTTCACCCACTTAATGAGGTTATAATCACTTTTTTATCATCGATAGTTTTCACAGAAAAATTGAAACAGGAAGAATGGGTCCAAGTGGCTTCAATATGTACATATGTATGCCCTTGTAAATGCTAGTCTGTAGCTGAGATAAGTGTGTATATGGTTTCTTTAAACTAAATAGACAAACCTTGAAAGCAGCAAGAGGCTTGGAGAAGAGATATCTCCATACTAAACCACTGAATAATATAAAAGGGAAACAAGTTATTGAGTGAAAACAAAGTTTGTATGGAAGACATGCTTTTTCAGTACAGGAAGTCACCTATTACCCGAAGGGGGTACCGAGCAAACGAGCACCGCTCCAGAAAGATTGGGGAATAAGCTTTTCTTTTCTGAATCAGAACCTGTAGCACCAAAAGAGGAAACTGTATGATTGAGTAGAAGTAACCACTTTGAGGAACTTTTGGATTTGGAGTAGAAAATGCAGTATTCCTTAGCTTGCAAACAATAACAAAAACACGATTACCTTTTACTGCTTCTCTTCTAATATTTGCAATGTAATACTGAACAATAAGCCCCCCAAATGAATGTCCAAGCAATACTGGTGGCAACTTGATCTCTTTGTGGATGAAGTCAGCAATATCACCAGCATGTGTCTACTGAATGCAGCAAAGTACAGAATTAGAAGGAACTGAAAACCGTTTCAGCAATGCACTAAGCGAAACCTGAATGAGAAATGTCAGCTCAGCGTAAATGTCATTACTCAGGCAACTTCCTGATTGACAACCAACAAGAATCTAACAGAAAGAAATGTAAAATACCTCGAGGGTACCTGCAACTGCAGCAGCAGGTGAATCACTTTCTCCCTGGCAATGTCAAAAGGGTACATATACATTAATAACATACCTTTGCTACTTCGATAGGGTTGCATTGCTATTTCACCATTTAAATGATAATGAAATATCTTCGCGAAGTAACTAGTGGAATCTATTTGAGTAAGTAAACTAAAACTGGATATTTATCTGAGATTACAATTCTTCCAACATTTATCAAACTGCAAGCTAGTTCAGTCGGCTAATCGATCATCAGTACTGAATAAAGCATTATCTGGATACAAAAAAGAAATTAAGCAGTTTACCATGAGATCTAAGAATTTTATCCTATTTTACATCTTTTTATCCATGTAATTGCAGTTGTTGAAACATAAAGAGTACCTGTCCCAGCAAGCTTAGAGCATAACAATCATATCCATTTTGGGAAAAGAAGGGGAGCCAGTGTTCAGCCCAACACCAAGCTGCATGAAAGCTTCCATGAACAAATACTAAAGGTGGGTTTTTGATAGATCTTCTCTGTTCCTCATCTGGGTCACTGCCCCTCTGGTAGAGAACCTCCATGTTTAGACCAGAGGGAAGCTTGTGAAAAAGACGAGATTGTCCCTGCTTCAGTTCATAAGGAACCTTCATTTTGGAATCCCTAGTTAACACAGCACGAGTTGTTGATATTCCTCTCGATTGAGGAAATTTGGGAAGAATCAAAGTACAGAGCGTAGCCATTGTTTCTCAGTAGAATATCTCCAACTGCTTTCTGTTACCCTTTTTCTCTTCCTCTGTCTCACTTTATCACTTGCGAATTTTTTGTTTCTTTTTTACTTGTATTGATTTTATTTTTTTTGTTACCAAGCTTAATGTACTTGCCAACTTCAAATTTGAACATTAAAAGCACACATACAATTTTGATTTTTGAAGTTAAATTAGGTAGTTCAAATTCAAATATATAGGTCTGAAATCGAGGATTATTAAGTCTAATTTCAAATCTAAATGTTTGAAGTTGGAACCTACAAATAATTTCAGACTAAAGTTTGGCTTTGATAATTCTCAATGCAAGTCTGAAATTGATTCTAAAATGGTTTAAATATTACACTTAATCTATTTCAATTTGTTTGACCTAATTATTTTAGTCCGTTTACAAAAATAATTTTTTTCTCTTTCTTAACAATTCTTTAATTTTTTACATGACATGTTTAAGACAATGAAATTAAACAACATTTTTAGTACATTTGCAATATGCGGCTATGCCCTAAACAGTAGTCCTTCAAGAGGCTATCTGTGCAACTTGCCCGGCCAACGACACAGTTGGGCCATTAATGTGCTTTGGCCCAATTATCCAAGTCCAACAACATTCAGCCCAAAGCTCCACGTGAGCGGATCGAGGGAGGTTCTTGCTGTCGAGATCAACATCGGCTTTCATGGACTTGCACTCCTTCACCAAGCTAATGAATTTTTTCCATTGTTTAACTCATCGATTCGCATTCGCTTTCTTCTTCACTCTGCATTCACCACTAAACTCAGTTTATTCTCAATCGATTCATTGAAGCTTAAAACAGATTAATTGTTGCAAAAATGATGTCTCCGAAGCCACTTCCAGAAAATCGCGGTTCATCTCATTCTGCTACCATGAGGTATGCCAAATATCCTTTTGCAAAAGACACGAATGTTAATCGTATTTTGATTTTATAATTTTTCTCTGAAATTATTGGTTTTTTTTAAAAAATTTCAGTGCATTTCTGCTTTCTTTGATTTGGCATTTCCTAATACTAATTGGTGCTTTCTTCGTTTTGTAATTAATCTATTTGAGAAGATTTAAAGTTCAGAATTTTATGTGAATTTTTCCTATTCCTAAGACTGAGGTGATTGACCTCCCCCTCTCATGGCAATTTTTGGAGTTTCGAGGGTTTACCATAGAAATGTGCTGATTCGACGTCCAATTTACGATTGTATTAACTGGTTAACCATTCGATTGTTTTTCAAGTATCAATTTTTTTTTTGTTTACGGAGGCAAACAAGATTTGGAAGCATGCACATTTTGATTAGTGTAGTTTTTTTTAATCTTAAGAGAGTTATTATCTCCTTGTTATTTTCCAGCATTTGTTTAGGCATAAA